TTTAGGGTTCAGGTGTAGGGTTTAGCCTTCCATGATGAATGAACTTTACTTGGTTCAACCACCAACAAATATCCTTTCAGGAGACTTCCCAATCAATCGCTATAGATTCGGAGATCAGGATGCCAGCAGTTTTATCAGGGCGATTTCTAACTTCAATTGCCAACCGTGGGTTTCTGCAAAAACTCTAATACAATCCCGGCCAGAGCCCTCTGTGTATTTGTAGGGACCCCCTTTTTTCAGAAACCCCCCAACTTCCTGCTTGGTCCCCAGAGATGAAACAGGTCCGAGCATGTTCTTTTCTCCCCAAGTGCCCAAAATAGTACATCCTTCGTCCCCAAAGTATCCATGGAGGAACCCAGTTTAGTAAAAGTATGTACTGCAAAGATCCTTGGACCCTTTGAGCTGGTCTTTGAGGACAAGAGCTCGACAAATTGTCGCGAACGAATTGTAATCCCCTCCCCTACTACAAAACCTCCTCCCGCAGCCCCCTTGACATTGAAAATGCCCTTTGGCGGTATATTATAGGTAATATGGTGTTACGGGGTGGGGGCTTTCATACCTTGGGAAGGGGACTAATTTCAGCATCATTTTATACAGGGAATAATGAAGCTTCCTTGGTCAGAGAAAACCTTTAGGTGTAGGATCTCTGCTTGGTTTGGGTTGCAAAACTATGGCTTTCTTGATACAGCCGATCCGGAGCCTAGGGATTCAAGGGCGATTTTTGTACACGGGTGACAACACCAAAGGCCCAAACATCCGTAGACATCATAGCTCCTCATTGAGGTCAAATTAAGATCCTCTCCTCCGACTCCTACTCTTACCCTTCTTCCTCCTTTTGCTACTAGTATTTCTGCCACTAGAATTACCACAACTGCGTCGGCCGGTCTGCGAGAGCGTATTCCTTACGATCCCCAATGTCCCAGACCTTCGTTTTGAGATTGGTCCACCTTGATTTGGGGGGGTGTTTAAATTATCCCAACCTTAGGTGCTTTCGGGACTATACAAAATTTCAATGGCCTTAACTCAGGGGCTGTGAGTTATCATCATCTGCCCAGAAAGAGGCTATCAACTCTTGGTGGGCCACACGTTCCTCCGACACGAGCGAGGACGGCGGGTCTGCATGGATTGCCAACTGCCTCTACCATTACGTGGCTGGCTGGTTTTAACAATTTGTTGCTCTGAACCACTACCCTAAGAATCCAAAGTGTACAATCATCACATACTCCGCAAACCCCGAATGCAGTAGCTGTTATGGGGACCCCAAAGTACATCACCTTTGTTTACTAGACCTTTAGGACTCAGGATTTAGGGTCTGAAGTCCTATGAAGCGAAGCTGTAAATGCTCATATGACCCAGGTGTATCCTCTACTTTGCCAAGAAGGTGCTGATGGAGTTGAAGACGAGGTTAGGACTGAAAGCCGCCAATCCGTCCAGGATCTCTTTGTGGCAGGTGCTCGGTTTAGTGTCAGGCTTCAGGCTGTAGGGCTTGGGTTTTCGGGTATAGGGTGTCTAAAACCACGCCTCAAGCAAGTTTAGGGCGCAAGAAGTAATTACGTACTATCGATAGAGCGCTATTGCGTGGTTAACTGGTAGTGATATTTACATATGGAGCTCCAGGGATAAACTGATAATTTCCCACAAAAAGGGGAAGCCCAATGTAAATCCCCAAATACTCTAATCCTTGTCCTGTTCTAGGGAATGCCCAACTGGGGTTGTGTAGGAAGATGTCGGGTTGCAAAGGGCAGTCTACGTGTAGGTTCCAGGCTTCCTGAATCCTTGTGGGTTTAGGGTTTTGAGGGTTTAGGGTTTAGGGTTTTTAGGGTTTAGGGTTTAAGGGTTTAGGGTTTAGGGTTAAACCATCCACGAGGTGCCTTCGTGCCCCTGGAAGATCTTTCGATGACCCAAGACTCTCGGTACCCCAGTAGTACCCTTTTCCCCTTTTTCGCTTTGGGGTCTCCTTGCTAAAGCTCCCTAAGCCCTATAAGCCCCAAACCCTAAACCCTATGCCCTAAACCCTAAGCCCTATGAGCCCTAAGCCCTCAACCCTAAACCCTAAGCCTTAAACCCTAACCCCTAACCCCTAAACTACAAGGTTCCTGAAAATAATTTTCAATTTCTGTTACCTAGAATCCTAATATTTAGCTGAAATTATAATTTCTACTGGGGTTCCAAATCCCTTAGAGCAAACCCTACCCTTACTATTATGGGGTTACTCGGGAAACCTAGGACTTCAGCCTTGCCGGGCTTCACCAGGTGCCGAAGGAATTGCAGGGAAGCTCGGCTTGGGTTTAGGTTTTTTGGGGGTGTTTAGGGGTTTAGGGGAATTTAGGGGTGTTTAGGGCTTTATGGGGTTTAGGGCTTTATGCAGTTTAGGGCTTCATGGGGTTCAGGGGTTCATGGGGTCTAGGGATCGGGTTTGGAGGTTTATTGGATTTAGGGGTTTATTGGGTTTAGAGGTTTATTGGGTTTAGAGGTTCATGGGGTTTAGAGGTTTATGTGGTTTAGGGGTTTATTGGGTTTAGGGGCTTATGGTTTAGAGGGTTTAAGTGTTTATGGGGTTTAGGGTCTAGGGTTTAGGTAACTTCCTCAAGAGCGTATCCTGGAGAGGGGCTAAAGTGGGACTTCTTGGAAGATGTAGGGATATGCCATCTTCATGAGAATCAAGTTTGCCAAGCTTATTGCGGGTTTAGGAGTAGGTTTAAGTAGTTAGTATTTCGATGGTGTTGTGCTTAGGACATACTTAGACCCAAGAAGGAGCCGGCTTAGGGTATTAGGGCGCGGCTTAGGGGATTAGTGATTAAGGTTTAAGTTTGGGACTTGGCTTTAGGGATTAGGCTTTGTGGCTTAGGAGTTAAAACTTTCAGTGAAGTTGATCCACAGAGCCCAGAAAGAGTCACGATGAACAGCTTCCCATACACCCCCCCCCCCCCAACCCTAAATCCCAAACCCTAATCCCTAATCTCTACACCTCGGCCATAAACTGTCAGCAATGGCCAAGGAAGTGCTCCACGGCTTTGCAAGTCCATCAAGCAGGTTGGGGATATCTCCCGCAATTACCCTGGTATGGATTCTTTGGTGTGGGGTTTCCTGTGGAGAAAAAGGGTTCCCTAGGTCCATGTCCCTTAGTGCCTTATTTGGGGAGCAGCAAGTTGGGCAAACTTCCAGGTCTTCAAGGCAGCCGACCTGATCCGTGCTCTGAAGCGCATGGCAGATGCAGCGGCCACGGAGAACCGGCCTCAGCTGAGGACCGCAGAGACAGAGACGGCCATCCGGCTGGCCATCGCCCTCTCAGAACGCATTCGCGGCCATGGCGAGAGGATTGGCGATACAATCCTTGTACCAACAAGTCAGGGAACTCTACGGCCATCCCAGCGCTGTGTCTTCAATAATATGCGGTGGCTATCCGACGAGGAGCAGCAGAAGAGGAGCCGGGCGGTCACGAGTAGTGGTCTCGATTGGGTCCACCAGAGTATTTCAAATGAGGTTGCGCAAACGCTGCAGGTACAGGGCCTCAGCACACAGGTCGGGGGTCTCTGAAAATTCTATCGGGTATCTCGTAGTAACACAGTAATTATCGGTGTTCTGGAGGTCCCATCATTTTAGATGCATCGGTTCCGCGGGAAATTCTTCTCATCTTAGCACCTGACAAGGTTGCGGCAGAGGCTTTGGCAACAGCCGATGAAGGCGAGAAGGACCCTGAGTGGTTTCTGGGCTGTTGTTATGTCTGAGCAACATGTTGCATTTTATGTGAACCTGAACCCAATGCAGAAGAATTTTCGACAGTACCTCATCAACGTTTTAAGTAAATGAGCCATAGAGTACCCCAAGTTATTCCCACTCATCTGATCCTTTTTGAAAGCCCAACAGTACTTCAAAAACCACCCAAGGTTTGAGGCAGCTGGTCAGCAGGAGGCAGCTGAGCTCTGCTTGCTTGTTGTTAGTAGCGAACAGGGGCTACAATTCAGAGTTTAAAGCCTTTAGGTTTAGGTTCTGTGCAGAATGGAGGAATGGACTCCTATCCTACATGGTCCGGCATGTAGGGCCTTTTACACCTTGTATTGCCATTACTGTCATTGCTTCTATTACTACTTGTATCACTTCTAATGAGTATTACTGTTATTGTTACCACTGCTAGCTCTAGTTTTATTACGATGTCTGTTGTTATTAGTATTTGTACTAACCTTACTGTCATTGATAGCGTTACTCTTAAGACGGGTTCCATGGGTTTTGGTGCTCCAAAACCCTAAACCCTACCCTCCTTAAGTGGTGTAGGGTCTAGCATCCAGGTGCAAGCTGTAATTGCGGGGTCTGTTAGCGTTAGGGCTGCGGCACCCTAAACCCTACAAACCCTTAAGGCTTAAGGGTCCAGGGATTCAAATTCAACGGCTTTAGGTCCAGCAGCCATATGGTATGTACGACCCCTGATCATTATATTTGAGTCCTAAAACCTCAGGGCAAACGTCTGCTCTCAAGCGTCAATAGGGCAGGTCAGCACAAAGGATGCAGGGATATGCAGCGTGTTCTAAAGATATCCCCAATCACACATGGCTGAGCTTATTTAATCCAGAACATGATGACTGTCCCGTGCCCTCATTCACGCTGGTGCTTCTAAAGTGTAGCTTTGCTACTGTGTTGTACCCCGTGTCCAGTAATCATGGCTCTCTGTGTAGGTCTTCTTCTTGTTGCTCTTCTTCTGCCGCTTCTGTTTCTGTGTTCTTCATCATTTTCTCCGTGTCCTCCTGTTAGTGTGTTTCTTATGCTAGTATGGTCGGTGGTCTTATAACCACTCATCCCCCCTCCCCCCCTCACGTCCCTCATTCCCCGAAACACGAAACCATCCAGCGCAGTAGGCCCTCACTGCCCGCCTGCGTTCGCTGATCCGGGACATGCTGGACCAAGCTTCTGCCCAGGTCTCATGGGTACAAACCGGGCTTCTACTTTGGCAAGCTTACATTGCTTACTTGAGGGTTACATGGGCATGTTATGAGGGTGATATAGAGAGTCATGAGATGGGGGTGGCACAGGGCTTTATGAGTATATTGGAACGCGAATTGCAGAGTTGGCTCCGCAGGGTTTACAGGGTGTCTTCACAATTTGGATCCCGAGATCTAGCGTGATACATCAGTGGGTCTTGCTATTGCAAAATATTCGATGGCATCACGTAGTACTCATGCACAAAAAAGGGCCTATCTAGTCTCGACCCGCGCGGACAGTCACCACAAGCAACAATGAAAAAATGTTCTTGGCCCTGGGCTGTGGGCAGGAAGCCTTTGCTCTTTGCATAACCCTAAACCCTCAACCCTGAAACAGGACCTTGGTCTTTTCAAAGCGCTGCTCCAGAATGCAGATGATGCAACAGCAACGGAGATCAATTTCGTGTGGGACTGGCGAAGCTTTGGAGGGCAGTCCTTGATGTCGCCCGGTCTCCACGGGTTTAGGGTTTGGTTCGAGGCAGCGGGATTTAGTCAGCAGCTTTAAAAAGGGTTTTAGGGTTTAGGGATGGATAAGAAAATGGAAGCTGCTGTAATTGTTAGGTAAACCCTAACCTAAACCCTCACTGATCCCTCAGGTCTCCAGAGATGGCTCGGTGGCAAGGGCCGTGCCTCTGGGCTCACAACAACGCAAAGTTCTCGCCACAGGAACAGTGCCTTTGAACAGGGATCATAGGGTTTAGGGGTCTAGGTTTTAGGGTTTAGGGGTTCAGTGTTTAGGTTTTGGGTTTAAAGGTCAATCTCGAATACATGCTGGGTTGATGGGTTTTGGGCAAAATTGGGGTTTGAGGCATGGCGTTTTGGTGTGGCATACTTTTAATCTAGGCGCTACCAGTAGAGTGTAATTAAGCATCAGGGCTTGAGGAGCAATCGGTGCAAACCCCGCCTATGCACGCTGCATAGGAATTTGAGAGGGTTGCGGATCTTAAAGGGGCTATGTGAGCTATAGTCTAAACTTCTAGTATCCCCCTCAATAACCCCTATAGTAGTCCCCTAGATTATCCCCTATATATCGCCCCTTAAAGGAGTTTAGAGCATAGCTCATGTAGGAATACAGCTTGTCTTGGGAAGGCATAGCGCTTCACCGGTGTCATGCGGGAAGGATTTAGATCATAAGTTAGGTGGACCCCCCACCCTGTAATAGTGATTATTATGGATAATGGGGATTATATTAGGGTCCTCTTATAATCCTATTATACCACTATTACAGGGTGGGGGGTCCTCCTAAATCATAAGCATGAAGCAAGCTGGCATTCAAATTAGCAGATCAGTTGGAACCTTTTTGAAAAGGCGGACAAGTCTTTTGGGAGTGTAGAAATACACCCGATGATTGAGCAGCACTCAACAGGATTCCATGCGCATGCAGCTCTTCAGCAGTCTCATAGCGAACCCAGGGAAATAGTGCGAACTATAGGTTCAAGTCCAACAGGATTTAGGATTGCCAGAGGGGCTATGTGACTTCCGGGGTTCCATTGTGCTCTATGGAGAGCACTACTAGCCCTTCATTGCGGGCCAGCGAACTTTGGCGCAATCATGGTTTCGACTTCAAATGCGCACCAAGGAAGTGAATGTCATCGTATGAGGGTTTTAATGGGAATTCTGCGAGGCTCGTTCGGATAATATGTGGTATACAAGAAGTACGCAGGAGTAGGCCTTATGTAGGAGCGTCTAAACAGTACATCTTTACGGTGATCTGCTTAAGCGAGCTGTGATGGAGGTTGTTAATTTATTCTTGGTATTATTACAAAATTACTTCTATTATTACTACGTACTCTTAAAATATTCGTATTACTATTACTGTTAGGATTACTTTTAATATTACGAGGATTATCATCTGCGAGAAGCTCTCATAGCCTTTCCCTGCAATCGCCATAACTTCTCTTAGGCCAATATAACAGGTAGAACCCTAAACCCTAAACCTAAGCCCTCTACATTCCTAGAAGTCTCCGTTTAAACCCTGAACCCTAAACTGCGCACCTGGGGTTTTCAAAAAACGGCAGGACTTCGAGAATATCACGCAGCTGGGATCAATGCAGAAGAGCAAATCGCAGAGCAGGAAGACACAGATAGGCATGGCTTGAGGGCTTCGATGTCTACATCTCTGGGGTTTAGGGTTTAGGGGTCTTAGGGTAGTGTTAGGTTTTAGGGTTTAGGGTTTAGGGCTTAGGGGGTTTAGGATATTGTTAGGTTTTAGGGTTTACGGTTTAGGGTTTAGGGGTTTTAGGATATTGTTAGGTTTTAGGGCATAGTGTTCAGGGTTTAGGGTTCACCCCCGTCAAAAAATGAATGCGATCGCAGCTCGCACTAGTCCTTCCCTAAGGGTCCAATTGTCCAATTGCCCAATAATTATGTACTCACTCAAAAACTGTACCACAACTACCACTACGCAAGTGCCCAGAACTTAGTTGTTGGGTACTTGGACCCTCAGGCCTTGTTTTTTCCCCTAAGCCCTAAAACCCTAAACCAGAGATAACCCCAAGACCCTGAAACCCCCAAAACATCAACCCCAAATCCTAACCCTAAACTCCAAACCCTAAACCCTAAACCGCAAATCCCAAACAAAAGCAGCCTGAACCACCCTGAAACACGCTGAAGACCCTAAGCCCTAAAAACCCAAACTCCTGTAAACCCCCAACCTAGCAAGGCAGGTTTGGTCTATCACGCCTAAAATTGCTTAGTAGCTGGGTAGGTAACCTTTAACCTTTTGGGGTATATATAGTCCTATTATAATACAAAGGTTAACCTTTTGGGGTATATATAGACCTATTATAATACCAAGGTTAACCTTTTGGGGGCCAGGGAACTCTGCAACTAGGTTTGGGAAACCCCAATCCCTATTTGAAGGTCTAGGGTTTAGGGTCTTGGGAAATCCTAATCTCTACCTTAAGGTTTAGGGTTTAGGGAAATCCCAATCCCTATCTTAGGGTTAAGGGTTTGGGGAAAGCCCAATCCTGATAAACACCTATATAAACGCAGTTTCCACTTCATTTTCCAGGTTTTTTCCATTTGATTCTTCATTATGAAGGTAATAAGTAATATCCCTAAACCCCCAAAATTCCCGAAATCCGTAAACCCAAATCCCCCTAAATCCTTGCAAACCCTAAACACTATGAACCCTCAAAGGCCTGGTCAGGTAGATTCGAAGCCCCTAAGCCCTATAAACCCTAGACCCTAAAGCTGGTTAGGTAGGGTAGGTTCAACCCTCCAGGACCCTCCTAGTACCCTTAATTGGGGATCTATGGCCCCTAAAATTGGTTACTTAGGCCCCAATAGAGGGTTCGAGGAGGGTCTAGTTCAGGCCGAATACCCTAAACCCCCTAACCTAACCTTTAACCCTATACCCTAAACCCCTAACCTTAAACCCTAAACCCTGAACCCCTACCCAAACCCTAAACCCTAAACCCGAAATGGTAGCTTAAAACTGGTCAGGGAGGTTTGGTCTCGGCTTCAATTCCGTTTACAGCATGACGGATCTGCCAAGCATCCTGAGCGATGACATCGTTCCAGGGTTGGGTTTGAATTTGTTTTTGCCTCCTGTTTAGTTCCTTCATAATTCCCATATAGTGCTTATACAGCCCTAGCAATTTGAATTTTGATAGGGCCCCCCATACTTACCCAAGGTTCTGTTCCTTGATCCGCATGTCCATCATTTGCGTGGTATGGGTGCATCTCCTGCCAAGCCGGGTATCAAGCTCAGATTCCTGAAGATCGATGTGCTGGACAAGTTCCGTGACCAGTTTGAACCCTACCACGGCCTGTTTGGTTGCGACCTGACTTCCTCCATGCCCTTTCAAGGAACGTTGATCCGACTCCCCTTTCGCACTGCGGAATCGTCGAGGTTGAGCGAAATCAGCAAAACCATCGTTACACCGGAACAGGCAACGGCTTACTTGAACGCGTTCAAAGACGCTGCTGCGGAGTGTTTGCTGCTTGCTGGTTGTTGGTATAGAGAATCAATGAGAATCAAGGAATGGATCCTTCCATTAGTCCCGGTATAGTTCCCCATCTTAATATTGTAGTTTCCATGATCCTTTCCGTTCCTTCATTCCCTACGACCTTCTTATGGTAGTTTTCGCAGTTTTTCCATTGTGTAATTCAGTACTAATAGCCAGTGAGGCTTTTCCTACAACACGTGCAACGCGTGAACTTCTGCTGGATTGGCCCCGATGCTGACCCAAACGCCTCACCCTCGACGCTACTGCAAGTACAGATCGTGCCTTCAAGTGTGCCAGCTTCCCTGGGACCCGCAGGTGGGCAGTATTTAGACTAGGACATTCTAGCCCCAGCCCCCCAACTACAAGATATCCTCCTTTTTGGTTGTACTTGTTTTTGTAAGAAGAATGTTAACCTACCCTGGTTCAACCACCTAAAACCACCACTCAGGTGGGTCAGGCATTCCTCAGGTCTCCACGGATGAGGGGGCGCTGGAATATCGCAGGGTATTCTCCTCGCGGTCGCTTCAGAAGAGTAAGGACTGACTGCTAGTGAGTAGAGAATGAACCCTTTTTTTGAGGCAGCCACGTGGTTTAGGCTTCAGGGTTTAGGGGGTCCAAGTACATGGACAACACATTTTTTTTGGTCCCAGCTAGTACCATGGGAACGGATGTTACCCCAAGATCCTGGTCCTGTCAGGGAATGTGAACAGTGTAGTGGGCTCCGTAATCCAGCCCCCAAAACCCTAGTAAACCAAAGAACGAAGGAGAAGCAGTCCTTCATCTCAGACCTGCTTAGCAGATTGGGTGTTCAGCAGCAAGCCACAGAGTCGGAGCCCAGGACAATCCTCAACAGTCTAAACTCCTCAAAGGGGGTTACATACGGTTTAGGGTTTAGAGTCTCCACTTCTAAAAGGGAGTTTTATAGGGGACGATGATAGGGTTTTAGAGGGGGATATCAGGAGTTCAGACTATAGCTTAACTGGCCTTATGTAGGTTACCCCAAGTGTGCCCAAGGGCTTCTGTGTAGTTCTTTTTGGAGTTGGTTGTGCTGTTCAAAAAGTCCTCGGTAGGCAGGGTAAGTTACAACCCCAATTCTATGTGAGGTTATCAAGCTCCACTAGCCTGAGAGCAGGCCTTACGTCAGCTTCACCGTGGTTGTCTCTGTGCGGTGGATCTCTCCATCCGAGCTACAAAATGCAGAGAAGCAACCTGCTGAGACCCTCGAGGCCTCTCCCAAAGGGTCCAAGTACCCAAGTATTAGGGACTTGGGTTTTGGGCAATAGTGATTATAGCACAGGTTTGGGGTAAGTATATGATTTTTAGGCACTTGGACCCACAGGGTCTAGGATTCGCTAAGCAAAGTTTGATGACTGCACCCGACCTGTGCTTTACACAAAGAATGGTCCCAAGTTGACCTAGTTCGAGGCTCTGAATGAACAAGATGCCCAGAATTTGGCGCTGTGATTATTTTGGTGCTTCCTATATGGGGGAACACATGTTGTTTGATTTGTACCTCCGCTTCTTTACACTTGGGAAACCTATCTAGGCTTGGCGACTCTTCCTGCAGCACGATAATCCCGAAGACGAACGCTGGAAGTCTGTTCTGGGAGCTTCGGACGAGACTGGCTTCGACTATGTTCCTTTTGCTGGCCTTGCTTTGTGCCTCTCTCGGCAGCTGTCGGGGCCACGAATCTGTTGCTTCCTGCCGTTGCCTGTCACAAGCTCACTGCCTTTCCTGATCAATGCCAACTTCTGCCTTACGGATCCAACAGCTCCCGGACGCTTGGATCTAGCGTCAAATGCGGGCTCAGGATTTGTGTCTGACTGGAACAGCATGCTTCTTCGCCACATCGTGGAACCCTTGATATGCACATTGGTGAAGGAGCAAGCAGGAGCTATCCAGGCAATCAGAAGTCAGCGCCCCAGCGCTGAGGCCGCATATTGGGCTGAGAAGGAGGGCATCTGCGCGCTGATGCCTTGTAGAGGTCAGCTGCCCCAGAGTCTTCAGAAGCTGCTGAACCTGCCTTCCATTTACAAGGAGCTCTCCCGTGCTCCGTTGTTTCCGCCCTTGCTGTTTGGTAGGAGGCAGAATCCTGCCGCTGCGGCTGCGACAGAGCTTGTAGAGAGCGCCCGTTCATTGGCAGCTCAAATTTTCACGGGCGAGATTGACACGAAGGCTTCGGCGCAGCTGCTGTCGTACACGGCTTCAGTGCAGCCTTTACCTCCTAGTGAGGGGATGGGGAAGCAGCATCAGGCAGTGCATGAGTACCTCAGCGGCTTTTCTGGGAAAAGTGGACAGGCTTACAAGTTCTGCGATGTCATCCGAAGCGTTTCCGACGAGTTCAAGTCGGCTAATCTGAGCCGCTACGCGGAGTTGAGCCCGGCCTTGTTGGCGTCATGCCTTCGTGAAGACAGTCGTTCCAACCTTGACGCTTTGACTGCAATAGAGCTTCTGGGCTATGTGCTGAGCGAAGAGCTTCCAACAGATGTGGTGGCAGCACTGGAAGGCCTGAAGCTGGCACCGCTCTGCAGTGGCAAGGTGGCATGCTTTGGCAGTGGGGTCTCGAAGGGTCTCTACTATGCCTTTCCAGTTGCAGGGTCAGCATCAAGTGCTCTGGCCCAACGGGTCTTACAGCAACTGGTTCCAACGCTCACCTTAGACCTGTCCAGCGTAGGGGCGCCTGGGTCCTTGAGCATCTTTTTTTATTTTTTTCCTCCCTTTGGTTCCTAGAAAGGCCAGAAGGACAGGAAGGGAGTGAAGTCACGTTTTAAACAGAGTTCCGAAAATAAGTAGGGGTTCTGAAATAACCGTTGACAGATCCTGAAAAGGAGTCCCCCACAGTCCCCGTGCACCCTGCATACATCCAATGTCAACGTGGAGACTCTTCTTGGAAAAGCCCCCCCATGTCACGGGGGTTACCCATTTTAGAGCCCTAAACCCCAAACCCTGGACCCTAGACCCTAAACCCTTAACCCTAAACCTTAAACCCTAAACCCCAAACCCTAGACCCTAAATCCCAAACCTTTATAGACCGTGTCCTTCCAAGGAGGATGGGATCCAGAGGCTGGGAGCCAAGGCATCCAGCCTCGGGGTCGAAAACGTGAAAAATTGCGAGCAGTTGGCCAACGCACTCATCGCCGGCTGCTGGATCATTGTTGAGTGCATAGGGTTTAGGGTTTAGGGTTTAGGGCTCTAAAATGGGCCATAGTTTATTGAGTACTCCAACGGCCTAAAGAATACCTCCCACACCTTATTATAAGGCCTGGAAACCAACGTTGAGGTTGCAGCTCGCCCCTAACTCCATGAGAGCCCCGTTCCCTAAGCCCTTGGAGGATCTTTTTAAAATCTATAACGGCCAGACCCCTCATCTGGAACATTGTTCCTAAATAAATGGCTTTCCTACCTAGACCCTCCTCCTACCCTCTATTAGGGCCTAAGTACCCACTATTAGGGACCATATATCCCCAATTAAGGGTACAAGGAGGGTCCTGGTAGAAACTCTGGAATTACGATAATTCAGTAGCCAGAGCCTGCCGCAAAACTAACATGGAACAAAAAGGGAGAAACATACAAACTGCTGTCCCTCCGATGCCAAACCCTAAGCCCCAAATTCTAAACCCAAACCCGGAACCTGACAGGGACCAAAGCCCTAAACCCTATACCCAAAATAAATCCCGAACCGCAAAGCCCTAAACTCCTTTAAACCCAGGTTTCCCAGCCCTACGAGCCGCTCCCTTGGAGTACTCCTCCCTGCAAGCCGCCATCGAAGAGAGATTGGGAGGCCGGGCTTTAGGGGTTCAGAGTTGATTTAGGGCTTAAGGTTGAAGTGATTTTTGGGGGGCTCAGAATTGATTTGCAGTTTAGGGCTTAGGGTTCAGGCTGCTGGGAGTAAGTCCATGAGACCCAAGTAATGTAGAGTTGCTAATGATTCAAATGTACATTAGGGGGCTGCTTTTATAAGGACATATAGTGCGTAGGGGCTGAGAAAGTGGTTCAAATAATGGGAGTATCTTCAATATTAGGAGCTTTAAGCTTTGGGGCTTGGGCACTAGCAATGGATAATCCAAAGGACAATGAAACGGAAACTGGGGTCATTTTGTCTTCCCACGCATTGGCAATGAACATACAAGTGGCTCCCAAAAAACCCAATTCGGACAACACAATCCAGATCTCTACGAACACGCAACTCAGAAGTTGGTGGAATCCTGCGCGCTGCGCGTGGCTATACAAGTAAGTAAGACCTAAATTTTGAGCGAGCGCTGACCAACCAAACACTTCCTCGATGAAATGTTCTGAAGCTAGCTAAACAGGACTATAGGTCATGACTTGGTGACAACCGAGCTGTTTGCCTGTTGCCGGCAAAATGAATATCCCAGTAACTACATAGTGGTGCCATAGCAGAAGACGACCCCCAAAGTTACGGTGTTCAAGAACCTAAAAAGGGCTCCCAAATCAAGAGTGCCTTAAGAATCTCTTCAACTTGCGGGATACATGAGGGCAACCTCTGTAGCAAGGCTTGACAACATGATGTTTGATTTTCTAGATGTTCTGCCAAAAGCCAATACAGAGACTTGAACACCTGGAACAGCTTACATTGCACTGTATCAGATTTAGTATTTCCCCAAACTAAGGGGACCCCAATATAGACCCCAATATACTATGATCCTTATTGTGGGACCCCAAAAAGGTACCCTGAATTTAGCAAAAAACACATTTGAACATGGATTGTTAAGAGACGAGAATGCTAACCATGATCCAGGCTCCGACAATAATTCAGGAGGCAAAAGACTGATGAACCAACCATGCGGACCTCTTTGTTGAAATGGGAATGGATGCCTGCAGTAGAGAGTTCATTTTCATGTTGTTTCGTTCATTCTCTAGTAACAGCAGCAGGGAATTGTTCTTCTCTGCAGGGCCGCTGAGATCAGAATCATTTCGGCGAGCGACAGCAGAGCCGCAGTCTCAGGTCATGGGCATTTCTCAGACATTCCCCAAGTGCAAGCCCGTACTGAAAAAACACACACATACAATTCTTTGCTCCATGCCTTGCGCTTATTGGTTTCTTCAAAGGAAATATACGAATGAATTTCTGCAGCAGCCTGATCTTACCCTGTATACTACACAAAAGTTCCCATGTGTTTCTCCATTCCCCACCAAACGGACAGCAAGCGCCTAAACCCTAAACCCCAAGCCCTTGTAAACACAATGGTCCCCTTTTTTATGCCCACCGGAGAACCAGATTGTTTAGAATGAGGATTTTCAAAGGGTGCACTTCATGTTTGGAGACACCCACATGATGTAAAGATCAGCTGGGTCGCTGCCAGTGCATGCCAA